CTTCAAGATCCGCTCCACAGACATTTCTTCACAACGATTGCCAAAGAAAAAACGGGTGGCATATCTATGACATTTTTATGCTCGCAGAGAAAAATGAGGAAACTTTTTTCTTATTTGCCATTGAGTGGGGGATTGTTTTATTTCATGTGTTGTTGTTTGGAACAATTTTACTTCGTTATTATATTTTATAGTGATATGCTTATTTGAAAATCTTAAGCCGTCATTTTAATCTCTTATAAATGCTTAGGTCATGTTTTCTTCGTGATTTATTAATTCAATTTATTTTTAATTATCACTAGTATAATATGCATCATCATGGATTATGACCAAGAAAGATAGAGACGGAGAAATGCAGCGATCTCCTTGATCGTTGAGTACTACAACACGTACATTGACCACTCTCCATGCTTTACATCGTCTTATTTTGGTGAAAATGGGTTGGAAAAATGCTTGTTGGACATCCAACTAGATTCAACAATATGTTCCGCATGAAGAAGGAAGTATTTACAGATCTTCTAGCATAACTTAGTGGATTTCGTGGTGTTCATGGGTCATCGAGGACGACGCAACGTGAGGTGTTGGCGATAACTCTCTACCTATTATCACAAAACGAGTCGATGTATGGTTCGATGGAACGATTCGAACACTCATCTGAGACGATAAGTAGATACTTCTCCTGTGGGTCTGATACTTCTCTGTGGGTCTGAATGCACTTGTGAGCCTATCTAAAGAAGTCATAAAACAAACTGATCCAACGTTCGCACGAACTCTTACAGAGATTCAACGTGATGCACGTTACATGCCCTTCTTTATGGTAACATTTGCAATTTCTAGTATTCAATTTTAAATATGAATGCTGGACATTAATAACTCAAATGCATATGTGTAGGATTGCATTGATGCAATAGATGTAACCCATGTTGATGCAAGAGTTACAAATGATGAAAAGATTGCATTTATCGGACGTTGTGGAGCCCCTACACAAAATGTCATGGCTATGTGCGACTTTAATATGTGTTTTACGTTTGTAATGCCCGGTTGGGAGGGTAGTACGCACGACAGTAGAATTTTGAAGAGTACTACGCAAAATGCTCAGTACAAGTTCCCACACCCTCCACACGGTATGTTGCATCCCCGAATCATTTGGTTAATCACTTTAAACATCATATTGAACCTACAATGCATTCCAGGCAAATATTATTTAGTGGATGTCAGTTATCAATTGCACCCTTCCCTGATACTAGATATCATATATCTGATTTCGAGCGAGCCAACAATGTGACACGTGACAGAAAAGAGGTTTTTAACAAAAGACATTCCTCCTTACGTGGTTTCATTGAGAGGACTTTCGGCGTTTGGAAGAAGAAATGGGTGATTCCTCGTGATATGCCACCTTCTCTGTTTCCTAAACAGGTCCAGATTGTGATAGCAATGATGACGCTACACAATTATATTTGGCGGCATCCTCCCGCACTGACATGGACTTTAATATGGCTGACAACGATGAGGAGCATGTCCCTCCAGAGGCATTTGAGTACCATATTGGGCATTCCGTGGAACGATCTGGGAGTGATCCTTCTACTATATGTACTTGAGAAGGGGATGAAGCAAGAGAAATGACGGAGTTAAGGGAAGAAATTACAACCGCGTTAGTAGAAGGCAGTTTTGGGCATTTGTAATTGATGAACATTTGTTTTTTTTTATGAAACTTGATGGGAGTTAATTTGTAAGGTTTAAGTACTAAAATATATATATTTTGCTTGTTTGGTATGGTTTTAACAACTCAAAGTTCTAATAACAACTCAAAGTTCTAATTTGTATGAGAAGCAGATTTTTTTTGTGTAGAGAGGAGGAGGAAATTTGAGATTGTGTAGAACTTTGGGATTCATATTTATTTACATATCTCACACTTAATTAATGTTTAGTACATTTTACGGTTACACCAAATATTCTGGTTATAATCATGTTAAGGTTGTGTCATGCAAGTCTAAAATTCTATGAATTTTACTGGGGTTAAAGTCATTTATGCTGATTTCTGAGATGTAAAATAATTCATAAGTGTATATTATTTGCTTATATCTTCTTAGCAATAGCTTTTGTTGGTTGTGAATAGTTGTTAGGGTGGTGGAATTGTGGTAACAGAAAGAAAATGTCCATATGACATTATTAATTTTCAATGGATGGCTTCTAATATTTGGAATAGAAGCATCATAATCAGCAGCTACAGTTGCAGCAATAATGGCAACCTTATTTCGATTGTGAGATTTTGAAAACTCGATCATGCACTAAAGGCATACAGTTTGTTTTTTTTTTGGCATTGTTATGGTCTGTTTTGGTTTTTTTTTTTCTCGTACTCATGTTTAATGTTCTTAAACATTGATGTTGAAGGCAACAAGAGTTATACAGGCTTTGTGCTCTGAGGCTAAGGTGAGTCTCCCTCTTATTTCATTTCAGGAAGGAGAGAATCTATTATTCCATTGCATGATTTAGTTATATTTATGTTAGTTAGCAGTACATGCATTTGTTCCTCACCTGACTGATTGAGACATTAGAACTATAGCCAAATTTATAAATGCTTTTTGACTCTATAGAATTCAGTGACATGTTTGCATATCTTCCTTTATTTTATTTTTAGATTCCTGCTCTTGTGCTTCATTGAAGGAAGTAATGCGGAATAATCTTTTTACCTTGAGCTTAAGGAAGTATAACATCTGAATGCTTGTGCTTCATACTTTTAGATTCCTGCTCTTGTGCTTCATCAAATTGCTTGGTCATAAGGTATGTTTTGGTGGCAAGTTTTTGAGGTGTTCTTTCATATGAACTCATGCGATTCTTCCTTGGTGATGCATGATTTCAACTTTAAAAAGTTAATCATCCTTTTTATGTATATGTAAAGTTGGCATATATATTAAAAGATTGAAGCTTATTTGTAATAAGTGGCATGTATGTAAAATTTTCTTGTATGAAATGTTTGTGTTCTTACACAACGACTTTGCCATTTTGAGGTGTTCTTTCATATAAACTCATGCGATTCTTCCTTGGTGATGCATGATTTTAACTTTAAAAAGTTAATAATCCTTTTATGTACATGTAAGGTTGGCATTTATATTAAAAGATTGAAGCTTAGTTGTAATAAGTGGCATGTATGCAAAATTTTCTTGTATGAAATGTTTGTGTTTTTACACAACAACTTTTCCTGATTGCATATTTCCATCTACCCCAACTTCATGCTTGTATACCCAGGCACAAAAATTATGTTTTTGTCTTTTCGATGCATATTTGAATGCTGATTTTCATCATCATTTGCAAATGATGTATTTAAAAGTTTAATCAATTTCTATCTTTAATGTAATACGCTCGCTGAGGTACAATGGATGAGCCATCAGCATGGGACAGCAGAGACTTTATGAGAAAACTTTGCATAGGAAAGGTAGTTTAGAATCAGGTTAAGGAGCAGGGTTCACAAATAGGCCAAGCAAGCCCGTCTTTAGTAGTCCTGCAGCATTTGGAAGAGCAAGCTAAGCAACAAGAGCTAGGTCGCTGGAGCAAGGTTTACTAGGTTTCCATTCCAGCTCCCCCATGCTTTCCATGGACATTCACCAAAGGCACAAATTCTTATTTTGCTGCTGTTTGCCTAGCCCAACTGGTATTAGATGACTTGTTCTTTCCATTTCTCTTTTATATAAGTTTCAATTTATCTTAGCTTTTGCCTGCAATACATTAGCAATTTTGAGGTATTGAATCGTCACTATTAATGAATCTATTGTTGATAGAAGTAATCACAATCAGAGACCGGCGACTAGCTTGCCTTCTACTATTTTACTTTTCAATTCATTATAAGATTTTTATTTCGAGATTTTTTTTAAAGTTTTTTTGGTGAATGGATATTTAACAGATGGGAACATCATTTCAGTTCTTGATGTTATTCACATCACTCATGCTGTACTTGCTACAGTAAGAGTTTACTGCAATTTAACCTTGATTCTAAAGACCAGGAATCAAGTGTGGTAACTTCAGAGAAGTTTTGGTGTTATGATATGTAAATGAATAAGAAATGAGTTGTGTGTATGTAATTCTAACACTCAATGTTGGATATTTACTCTTATAACAAGGTGTCATAAATCTATGTATGATGTGTATTTCACTTTTAAAATGGAAGTAATTGAGGGATTTTTGATTTGATGTTAAGAAGTGAAGTGGTATGCATGTAAATGAAAGTGTTTAGGTGTTAGGCATGACACAAAAATTGTACTGTATGTGAATGTCCCACATATGTATGTAAATCTGTGTGTGTGTACATATTAACTTGCATTTTTGCGCTCGCGCGCACACACTCTAAAATCTTTTTATTATCCAATTAATGCAGGCGAGGGTTTCCATTAATTTTATTGAAGTTAATTTTTTTAATTTTAATTAATTAAAGTTAATTTCTCACGAGACTTGATCAACCAGTCTCGTGAGGAGTTTTTGGGCCTTCGTTCTTAATTATTTGATATAAATAGAAATTTTCTCAATTATTTAAATTATTTAATTATTTATTTAATATAAATTTATTGCATAAGAAATAATTTATTTAATATAAAAATTAGTTTATATTCTGTTTTAAAAAGCTTTACTGAAGAGAGGCGGAATTGTTATTTTTTCATAAACAGCTGTCCGACAGTTGATTTTACACAACTGCACCAAATAGATAGCCAGATTTCCCGCAGCTGCTTCCCCACAGCAGTTTTCTAGAGCAGCGCAGCTGCATCTGAAAAGCTGAGAAGCTGCAGCTCCCAAACAACAAAAATTTTTCTGTGCGGACTCCTGACGTAGCTCTACATGCGACGCATGTTATTCCTAAGTTATTTTCAGATTATTTTTTAGTAATTTTCAATAATCCCGAAATAATACAAAAATAATCTAAAAATAAAGACCGCGAATTATTTATAAATTATTTTGAAATTATTAAAAATAACTTGGAAAATAATTCAAAAAAAACTGCATGCTGGAGTGCCGAGCAGCCCACACAGCCACGCCCCCAAAACCAAGCAGAGCCTTGGGAACTATCCAACCTGGCAAGTGGCAAACCAGCTCTTGTACCCATAAAAACCTAATTCCAATCCATCATCCAGTTCAGATCCCTCTGCAATGGAAGCTGCAACGGTCTCTGATCCCATCGCCGACTCATCTCCGTTGGTGGCTCGACTGCGGAATCTTCTGTTCCGGCGAATGCTTATCGGCGTTAAGGACGGGCGATTCTTTCTTGGATCTTTCCATTGCATCGACAAGCAGGGCAACATCATCCTGCAGGACGCTGTCGAGTACCGCAGCATCCGGCGATCGCCACAGTCCCCGATGGAGCAGCGGTGTCTCGGAATCATCCTAATCCCGGCCGCCTGCCGCTCCCCGGCGCCCTGCCGCTCGTCCTGCCATGTGGATTGCTCCATCAACGAGCAGATGTCATTGTTATCTGTTAGCAGATGAAGATGTAGGGTCTGATGTGTGAATTGAAATTCTGCTAAATGAAGCTTCTTGTAAGTCTTTTTCCTTTGAGGAATTGGAAATTTGATGTTTATGATATGGAATTAAACACACTTTTGTTTGATTATCACTTTATTATTGAAATTCTTGCATCATAAGTGCAAATGCGGGAATACATTGGTCGTAGGGTGAAAGCGGCCTTCACTAAATCAGAGCACCATCTCGTATCTTATGCAAGCCGTTGATTTTCTGGTGTTTGATAGAGCGGAAACCTCTTCCTTCCATGCTGCGAGGAAAAAAATAACGCATGTTTTAAAAATGCTTCTCGCAGGTTAACTTCACTAAATCTGATATTGTTGTCAATTCTCAAGGTTTAAAAATGGGCATCTTTTTATCACTTGTCTGGGTCTTCCTACTGCCGCGGGCCAACTCCAAGTTAATCTTATAAAAAATTGCCATCCTTGATAAGATTAATGGATTCTTGTCGGATACCAATTCATTCGTTTCTCATTTAATAGTTTATTATCTTACTGATTTTGTTTAGTCTCCCTGTCAAAATTGTGTCTTTATGGCGAGCTCTTCCTTCAATTGTTTTTTCCTTTTTCATGGAGGGATATCTAGGAAGCTCCATTTAAATCCTGGTTTTATTCCTGGTATTACTACCCTCCCTAGGGACAATTGGGCCAGGAGGCTAACTTCTTTGGCTATTGGTAACTTCATCTGTAAAATGAATGTAATTGTGAGACTGTTCTACCTATTCATCTAATCCTTTTACTAACTATTATCATGGGAGATATTGGTCCTTATGTGAATGCCGTCTTAGGAAGTTCTTCCTCTTTCTGAGAGAGTTATTTTTTATCACTTCCAATTCTAAAAAGATGCATCTCCTGTCAAGTTGTCAATGGTAGAAAATGTCTCTGCTTTATGAGCTATTAGTTGGAGGAAAATCTCTTTTGGAAATTCTGGGCATACAGTAATTTGGCATCTTTAGCTTGCTTCCTAACGCCACTATAAGCTCTTTTATTGAGGATGGTCATTGGGTCCTTCCTTACCTTGCCTTAGCTCCATTGCCATGGTACCATTTCTAAAATTTTCATAAATGAGAGTGGCTTGATAAAACGGATCATTGGAATTCATACTTTTATTACTCAACAAAATATGCTAAGATAATTGCTATAATGCGACAAATGTTGACTAGCATGGGCTAATTTGTTTTAAAAGGAGTCTCACTTAAATTCTTTCTTAATTGCTGGTTAGCTTACAATAAAGGGTAGAAGTCATTGGATAAGCTGATTGTCCAAGGTTTACAAACATGTTCATGGTGGATGTAAAATTTGCAAAATATTCGACATGGGCGTAGAAGCGCGGGATGTTGGAGTGGACATGCTGGACGCGGGTGTGGATAGGCTGGACTGGGACGCGGGTGTGGATAGGCTGGACTGTGATGCGGGCGGGGAAACATTGGACTAGCATAAAATTCTTGCTTCAAGAATTTTGACTGGTTTGGTTCCTAGGTTATGAAACTGCCACCCAAAGGAGTGGGCCACTCTTTAGTTGTTTACTAGTATTTGCTTGCTGTTTGTGTGTGTTTAGGGTCAATTTTTTGTGTGTGTTTTAGTTCAGAACAATAGTCGACTTTTAGTGTACCTCTTTTAGAGCTTATTTGAAGGTGAGAATGTGCTCCGACTATAAATAGTACATGGCTTAGATTGTTTCCTAAGGATCGAATGGTGCTTCAGTTGTAGTTCGATCCCGCAGAAATATTTATCCTCGGCTTTCTTTTCCTGTAACCTTTCCTTCACCACCGACCTCTCCTTATTTTCTATTGCCACCAGAAAACATCCCCTTTACTCTTGCAACCCGCACTTACCTGCAACCTCTGCTGCCCCAACCAGCTGCCGACCCTTCCTAGACTTTCTCACTACCACCCAACCTACTGTCTGGCCTTAAACCAGTCCTTGGATAAGCTGATTGTCTATGGTTTGCATACTTGTTCATAGTGGATGTAACATTTTGCAACATATCCGACATGGGCATAGAAGCGCTGGATGTTGGAGTGGACATGTTGGATGCGAGCATGGATACGCTGGATGCGGGCGTGGATATGCTGGACCGGGATGCGGGTGTGGATACACTGGACCGGGACGCGGGCGGGGAAGCACTGGACTAGCACTGAACTCTTGTGGCAAGAAGTTGGACCAGTTTGGTTCCTAGTTTATGAAAGTGCCTCCCAAAGGAGTGGGCCACTCTTTAGTTTTCTACTAGTATTTGCTTGTTGTTTTTGTGTGTTTGGGGTCAATTTTTTCATATGTTTCAGTTCAGGACAATACTCAACTTCCAGTGTCCTATTTTAGGGCTTAGTTGAAGGCGAGAAGGTGCCCCAACTGTAAATTGTCCAAGGCCGATGCAGTCTCCTAAGGATCGAATGGTGCTTCAACTGTAGTTCGATCCCGTAGAAATATTTATCCTTGATTTTCTTTTTCTGTAACGTTTCCTTCACCATTGCCCTCATCTTATTTACTGACGTCACCATAAAACATAGTCTTTATTGTTTTTCTAGCAACCTTCACTTTCCCCTCCCCTTACCTTCCCAACCTTCCTCACAGCCGCCCCTTCCCAGACTTTCTTACTGCCACTCAACTTGCTCTCTAGCCTTCAACTAGCCCTCCAACCTCTACCCCCTTGTTGCCGCAACCTTTCAAGTCTTTCTTCCCACTTCCTTGTTGTCATCCAACCGCCGACTAGCCTTCCCTCTTGACCATCCAAACACTCCCTCCATACTCCCCCCCTCCCCTCCCCTCCCCAACTCTTCAACCTATGGCCTAGTTTTTGGAGTTGTGCTGTGTCTTATTATTTTCTATTTCAATTGGTTTTTTGTAATTGTCTGTCTAAATTTCATCAATAATATTATTGTTTCGTTGTTGTTTGGGTTAACTCTGGTATCATTTGGTATCAGAGTTTGCCTAACCATAGCATATCCTAGGGTTTCTAGCATCCCTCCATATCTCCACTCAAACTTTTTCTTTCCCACTTTACACACCTCCTTCCACATATACACACCCAACTCCTAACCATTCCACTGTAGCACAATTACCTGAATCTATTCAGGAATCTACCATGGACAACTTATAATGGATACTTCGCCAAGTGCTATATCGACTCGATGTCATTGAGGGAAGAACTAGGGCGGGATCACCATCGATCGTAATAGTGAAAGCCGTGCAGAAGAGCAAGTAGAACACCTAAATCCCTTTCATAGGGATTATGCCAATTAAGAAGAAGATATGCTACAACATTTTGGGGATAGTATCAGCGGACATACAAAGATAAGATGTTTGTTAGAAGAAATAAAGATGAGGTGCCTGTTTGAGGATAAAGAGATGAGATGCCTGGTGGAGGATACCTAGATGGGATGCTTGTTAGAAAATACAGAGTTGTGTGCCTATTGAAGTACACAGAGATCTGTGTATGAATGCAGACCCTACCAGACATCAATCGGAGAATGCATCCAAAAGATTTCTTCTTGTTGATACGGACTATTGAATGGATCTTTGAATATAATAAGGTGCTCTATTATAGAAGAGTGAAACTTGCTATTATCAAGCTGAATAAGGATATTTCTTTGTGATGGGAGAATCCGAAGAAGGAGAGACAGAGATAAAAAAGTCATAATCATTTATTGGGAGAAGTTGAAATGAGAGTTGCAGCTATAATACCTACCCTCGCACTACCACTGGGATAATTTTTTGGTGTTTCACCACCTATAATAGAATGAGCTATCAGTGGAGCACACAACAGAATTTATGCAACTTAAGTTGACTTGTGAGCCGAATGAGACAAAGAAACACCCCATAGCCAGATACTTGAGAGGCATGAAGGCATAAATCAGTAATGTGGTACAACGACAACTCTATTTGTTATTGAGAGAGGTGCAAATCTTAGCACAGAAAGTGGGGAGACAACAGAAGAAGATCAGACAACCACCAACAGTCATACAATCACCCACAATTGGAGACCTCAGGAGGAGCACACCTCAAAGAATGGAACATGTTAGTCAGAAGTAGAATAGAGTCAATTCAAGTGAGAAGAAAGCCTGAGAAGAGTAGCATGCCCACTACAGTTCCTGGTAGGAAATGCTTTCAGATGTCATGGTTTTAGATATATCACCTCCAGTTGTTCAATGAGTTGAGCTGTGTCCTTTACCTAGCAGGGTGTCGTGGAAGAAGTGAGTAATGAAGAGACAAATGAAGAGAAGTGTGAGTACTAGCTTCTACCAAATGAGGGCGATATGCTTGTGGTTCGACGGACTCTACAAACTAAGGCTATGAGGGAGCATTAGTGGCTTCACCACAATATTTCCACACCCAGTGTCTTGTGAAGGGCAAGGTATGCTACATCATCATCGATGGAGGTATCAACAAGAATGTGATGTCAACGCTGATGGTGGAAAAATTGAGCATCACTACTCAGAGACATCCTTAACCGTATTTCTTGATGTGGTTGAAGAAGAACATAATCAACATTGATAGAAGGTGCCTCATGATGTTTTTGATTTGGGCCTAGCTGTAGGATCGGGTTTGGTGCGACGTGGTGCCTATGAATGCATTCCACATTTTTGTTGGCGAGACGGTGACTATTTGATCACATGACTCAACATGATGGGTTAAGAAACACCTACTACTTAATCGAAGATAGCAAGCACATCGTCCATCTATCTTCAATGATGTTCAAGATCACAGGTTCCCTTGCCAAAAGAAAAGCCTCAGGAGGACCAATCTTCGCGATGACAGGGGACTGCGAGAGAGAAGGGTAGGGCAGATAGAGGACAACCAGTATACCGCCCTGACTGCCAATTGTCAGGGAGAGTCAGACTGTCCGCACCTTAAATCGGGTTGAACCAACCTTGAGTTACGTTTAGAGAATTCAATAGAATACACGTTGCACAAAATCTCTGTTCAGCTAAACAATGTACCCCCATATGCTTAGACCAATATAGATGTTTGCATGTCAGTGGAGAAAACTCCTTGGGCGCTTTGGAGAACAATGCAGTTGC